GGGGGGCGGCGGAGGAGTGGGGGGCGGCGGAGGAGTGGGGGGCGGCGGAGGAGTGGGGGGCGGCGGAGGAGTGGGGGGCGGCGGAGGAGTGGGGGGCGGGTGGAGAAAGAGACCGCAGAGACAGAAACACCGAGACAGAGCGGAGACGGGTCAAGAGGCAGGTGAAGAACAGCTCATCAGAGATGCGTGTTCTGGGCGAGGTCAAGGTGGAGCCCAGCCTCGCACCGAAGGTCCTGCAGGGGCGGAGATGGCCCAGGGCTGGCCTATCCCTCCCAAGCCCCCACATCACAGCACCTCCCCGAGGGGCGCTGCGGAAGTCCCTGCTTACTTTCTCCGCGATCATGCGCACGGTGTCCAGCTTGATGATCTTGGAGGCTCTGTCCGTCCTCAACACACTGTCTGTGGCAGGGAGAGAAGCCGGGGGCTTTGGAAGAGCGCTCGCCCGCAGCCCATATGCAAGCCCACCTGCCCCTCCCCCGCTCAAAAACCCACCATGGCTCCCCATCGCCCGGAGAGCATAACGGCCGCAGCTCCCCGAGCCTGGCGCCTGACGCTTCACTGCGCTCAGTCTCCCTGCTGACCGTGGCCTACACTGCTACTGACCCACTGGGAAACAGCCTCGGGGACAGAACGTCACTGGCTCAGGGTCACGAAGCCAACAAGGGGCAGGGGGAGGAGCCTGATTTGGGGTCTGTGTTGCAGACACTGGCTCTCCCAGACTTGACCCCAACTCCAGGCCTTTGCTCAGACTGTGGAAGAAGCCTCGTCTTCCATCCCCCATCAGTCCTCCAGGACTTGAGAGGGAGCACTGCTTCCTCCAGGAAGCCCTCTAGCAAAGCCAGGCAGCTGAAGGAGGAGACACGCCCTGCCCTGGGGCACGGAGGGGAGGCTGTTTTGTTTTTTTTTTTAATTGTTATAAAATGTGCATAACATAAAATGTACCACCTCAACCATCTCTAAGCGCACAGCTCAGCGGCATGAAGCACACTCACGCTGTCATCCCTACCCTCCATCTCCAGAACTTTCCATCTCCCCACACCGAGACACTGTCCCTGTGAAGCACGGACTCCCCACCCTGCCCTAGCCCCGGCTCCCACCGACTCCTGTCTGTGTAGACGGGACTCCTCTGGGGCCCTCCTGGGGTCCTGCGGGATGAGTCCTGGGTCTGGCTGCTCTCGCTGAGCCCAGTGTCCTTGGGGTCCCTTCATGTGGTGGCAGGTGTCAGGGTCCCTTCCTTTCTAAGGCTGGACCGTGTTCCCACGTGGGGATGGACCGCGGCGTGTTTACTCATTGGCCCTGGGTCATGTCCACAGTTTGGCCGCCATGGACAATACCGCTGGGAACTGGGGGGGTGGGGGGCAGGGGCAGCATGACCCCTGCCCTTTACTTCTCTCGGGTGTAGACCCAGATGTGGACTCGCCGGCTGGGTCAGATGATGACTCTGTGCTTAACTTTCTGAGGAGCTGCTAACTGTCCTCCCCAGTGGCCGCCCTCTCCGTTCCCCAAGCCACACACGAGAGCTCCGACTTCCCACATCCTCATGAACACTGCCTGCGCTCTGTTGGCTTTGACACTATGGCCCTCAGGACCCTAGAGCCTCCTCCTGCAGCCAAGTTCCTGTCCCACAGACCCTGCGTCCCAGGTTGCTCTTGGAAAAGCCTCCTGGAAGGCTGCTGAGCCCCCGGGGCAGGGAGAAGGCCAAACGGACACCTTCTGAAACGTTCACACCTTCCAAGGCAAGAACCCCGCGCCCGGGAACCCCAGCCATGAGCCGCTGTCACAGACACATCTGGTGAGCACAACAGGCCCCATCTGAGAGACGGGGAAGGGAGGTCTCCGGGAGGGCACGCCACCAGCTCGGGGCCACCCGGCCACGAGGAGCAGGAAGGGATTTAGGACACTGACTCCCCAGCACTGCTTCGAGTCTAACGGCCTCTCTCCATCAGAGGACCCTCCGGCAGCTCGATGAGCTGTTGTGTCTGCAAAAGCCTCTCCCCGTCCTGTGGGGGCTCCTGACCGAGATCTCAGCCCCAGGGGGCTCTGTGCGGAGGCTTTCTGTGTTCAGTGCATGCACTCTGCAAACGTTTCTCGTTGGACAGCAGCCAACGAGATGTAAGGCAGGATGTAAGGCAGCAGGCGTGGCTGTCTCCCAATAAAACTTTATTTGTAGATGCTGAGATTCAAAGTTCATTAGCATTTTCACGTGTCACATTTTTCTTTTCACTTCTCTTCAACCATTTAAAATGTGTAAGTACGGGGCGCCTCAGTGGCTTGGTGGGTTACGTGTCTGACTGGGGATTTTTGGCTCAGGCTGTGATCTGGCGGTTGTGAGATCGAGCCCTGCAACGGGTTCCCTGCCCATGGGGGGGTCAGCTTGAGATCCTCTCTTTCCCTCTAACCCGTCCCCCCTTGCATGTGAACCCACGCAGGTGCGCGCTCTCTCTGTAAAAATAAATAAATCTTTTAAAAAATGTGTAAATACCATTGTTAGTTAGCAGGCTGTATTAAAGCTTAGCTGATGGGCCAGGTTTGGTCCAGGAGCTTTAATCTGCTGACCCCCTACGCTAGCTGTTTCTGGAGTGGCTAATTTGGGACCTCCTCAGGGGAGCGTCTCTCTTGTTCAATGCTGTGTTGGTGGCTCAGTAAATATCTCATCCACAAATGAAGGACCGGGTGGCACGCTGGCTGCCTGGTGAGCTGTGTTAAGAAGGATTCTGAGGCTCTATCTGGACAAAGAGCGCCAAGATTGATTCCCGATGTCCGACCCCCAGCATTAGAGGTGTGCTGGCGCCTCCTGTGCTCACGTCTCCATGGGCTGCTAACAGCAGCACCAGCCCGGCCATCAAGCTGCTTTGGCCCCAGAGGCGGGCAAAGTCTTGTCAAATGACCCCGTCCCCCACAACAAGGCCGCTGTAGGACCTGTGTTCTCACCTGCGATTTCGAACTGGTCAGGCATCTCAGCAGTCAACTTTTGCATCGCGATGTCTGCCACGGGCCCCAGGATCACCACCGGGCGCTTGAAGCTGGCTGAGGGGTAGCAAAACGACAAGAATCAAGGTCCCATTTGTAGTGAAGACTGCGAGATCTAGCAAGACCCATGGCCGCTCAGCTAAAGACTACATCTCCCAGCGTCCACTGCGGGCAAGGCCAGCCATGTGACTGTATCCCGGCCAATGGGGTGCAAGCACGGTTGATGGGTGCTGTTCCCGGTTGTATCATTCCTGGAAGGATAGGAGCCCTCTTCGCCTACCGGCCTTGCCTCTTACTTAAAAAGAGGCGTCTTATTTGTGTCTACAGGTGTCACGTGGGGTCCGTTAGAGCCGCCGAACCTAGCTAACTCAGTGGTCAGCAAACTACAACCCAGGGGCCACATCCGGCGCACTGCCTGTTTTATGAATAAAGTTTTATTGGAACAGGGTCACATCCGCTCCTTTAGGTATTGTCTCTGGCTGCCTTCCTGCAGAGCTGAGTCCTTCTGATGGACACTACCCAGCCCACAAAGACTAAAACGGTGCGTCTCTGACCTTGTACAGGAAGAGTTTGCCAATCCCTGGACCAACGGATGCACCATTTTAGCCGGGAGGAAACTGGTGCAGAGGGCACCCTGGCAGGAGAAAGGGTAGTAACCAGCATCCCCCTTTGTACCCTGACTCTGTTCTTGTTCTCTTCTCCTGGACTCCAGGTCTTTCTCTCTCTCTCAATACCTCGATACATTCAGATTTCTAAACATTCTTTGGTCAACATTAAGTTGGTGGCTTTTTATTTTTAGTCTTTCTCAAGAAATAAGTCTTTCTCCTCTCTTGGACGTTGGAGGGGCAACTGCGGAGCAGCTCAGCCCATTCCCATCCCTCTGGCAGATTTTTTTCTTTTAAAGGTCTCTGCACCTGCAGTAATTCCTTCTCCCCCCAAAGCTGTGGGCAAGGGCTCGCTTCCCCCGCTGCAATCTGGATGGGCCCGTCTCCGCACCAGCCCAGTACTCAGAGGAAGGATCTATGATCTACATGCTGCTTTTGTGTTTATTTCTAAATATTTGATTAATTTCTTAAGATTTTTAGCTTTTTTGAAATTAACTTTTAAAAATATACATAACCTAAAATTTACATTTTACTCTACATTTGAAGGTGTGCAGTTCAGGAGCATTCAGTACATTCACAGGGCTGTGCGGCCACCACTCCTAGTTTCAGAATATTCTCATCACCTCATCAGGAGTCACCCCCCTGTCCCCTCCCAAGACCCCATGAGCCCCCTTCCCGTCACTGGAGGAGCCTGTTCTCGACGTGTCACGCACGTGGACTCACACCCCCTGTGGCCCTCTGTGTCTGGTTCCCTCCCTGAGCTTCCTAGGCTTGAGGTCTGCCCCCAGGGTGGCACGCTGGGGCATCTCCCTCCTGCTGGGGCGGAGGGATGTGCCCATGCGTGGGGGACACACTGTGTTACATCCCTTCATCTGCTGAACATTCGGTTGTTTCCAAATCTGGGCTGTTGTGAATCACACCGCTGCGAACATGCGCGTGCACGTCTGGGTCTAACACCTGTTCGCGGTACGCGTGTATTTTTTTTTTTTTTTTTTAAGATTTTATTTATTTATTTGACAGAGAGATCACAAGTAGGCAGGAGACAGGCAGAGAGAGAGAGGGGGAAGCAGGCTCCCTGCTAAGCAGAGAGCCCGATGCGGGGCTCAATCCCAGGACCCTGAGATCATGACCTGAGCTGAAGGCAGAGGCTTAACCCACTGAGCCACCCAGGCGCCTGGTACGCGTGTATTTTAAAGGGTGTCTGTTTAGCACCCGCAGCACCCACAGAATGTGCAGCCCCAACTCCCCCACCCCGCTGTGCTGTCTGGTGCCACGTGTGGCTGCGGAGAATTACAACGCGGCTGGTCTGAACCAACATGTGCTTTGACTGCAAAATACACACCAGATTTCGAGCACGGTGCACGCACAGAAAAAGATGCGAAATATCTCCCTGACAACTTATAATTGTATTATCTATTAAAATGATACTTTGGATACATTAACAAGACACCTTATTTAAACTATCTGTAACCATTTCTTTTTTGATCATATATGCGGCTAATTCGATTGGAAATAGGAATTAAATTTTTTTAAGCTAAGAAGCCCTCTCCTGTTTCCTCTGGCTCCCTACAATAACCCCAAATGGGTATTTTTGGTGGGAGGAGAGAGATGAGGATGGGGGCTTCCGAAGAACATGTGGTCCACAAATTCAGACTCTTATGAGCCTTCCTCCTGGCCCAACACCCTGGCCCCGGCCCCGCCCCCGTCCCCCTCGCCCCGCCCCCCGCCCTGGAGACCCACCTTCTCGCAGCACCACGCGTTCGTAGGGCGGGTAGTGCCCCTGCCTGGTCAGAGCGGACAGGTCCTCGCGGCTCCGATGGGTGGTCTTCTTGGCTCCGCGCCGAAGGCCCCGCAGCCGCCAGAACTCGGCCCTCGCGCTGGAGCCCCCGGAGGCACCCGGCCCGGCCCCCACGGCGCGCTGGGCCTCCTCCAGGCTGGCCAGCTGCTCCGCCCTGGGGAGAAGCAGGGGGCTGGTCACCGAGGGCGGCAGAAAAGCAGCCCGGGGACGGAGGGCGGCGAGGCCGTGCCCGTCTGCGGCGGGGCAGCCGAGGCCGAGGGGCGGCTCACCTGCTCTGGTTGGGGATGATGCCCCGCTCCTGCTCCCGGAGGTCGCACCCCATGCGCACCGCCAGCCAGTGGCCCCCGCGGGCGCGGCTCTGCCCAGGGTCGGGGTACAGCGTGTCCAGCACGTGGAAGACGTCCCCGCGGGTGAAGCCCAGGCCCGACGGCGGGCTGGCCTCCAGCTCGAAGTGCGTGCGGATGTAGAAAGAGTCGCCCACGCGGGACTGCACCATTTTGCGGAAGACTGCGGACAGGGGAGGTTCTGTGAGCGCCTGGGGCCGCCGCCGGGCCCCAGCCCTCCGGGCCACACACACACTCACTGTCCTGCTTCCGCTGTGTCACCAGCGTCACCTCCTTGCCCGGTGGCAGCCCCAGCAGGAACTGCACGGCCTCCTCCCGGGTCAGGTTCCGGAATGGCACATCATTCACCTGCCAGGAAGGGGGCGCGAGATGGGACGCAGCCCCAGCCGCCCCCTACTCCCGGCGCCAGGCATCCCAGCTCCGCCCCTGGAGCCCCCTCCCAGGAGGAAGACAGCGGGGACTGGACGTGGTGCCCCGCTGGCAGAGGCGAGGGGGCCCGGGACAAGGACACCCAAGGCGGTTAAGATTATAAAATGAGTGTAAGGAGGTGATGGTTGTAGGGGCAGGAAAGGCACCAGGATGGCACGACCCCGCCAAAGTGGTGGCCCAGATGAGCCGTGTCCTGGTCAGCAAGGTCGTGATCCGGCCAACAAGGTCATGACACTGCCAGGGAGGCTTTAAAATGTTCAAATTTTAAATTTGAACATTTATTTGGTGGCTCAGTGGGTTAAAGCCTCTGCCTTCGGCTCAGGTCATGATTCCAGAGTCCTGGGATCCAGCCCCTCATTGAGCTCTCTGCTCCGTAGAGAGCCTGCTTCCTCCTCTCTCTCTGCCTGCCTCCCTGCCTACTTGTGATCTCTGTCTGTCAAATAAATAAATAAAATCTTTTAAAAATAATAATAAATAAATAAATAAATAAAATGTTCAAATGTCCGTCGGGGGGTGTGACCAGCCCGCGGGGCGGGCACAGGGGAGGACACACGGGCAGGAACAGACCCGGGAGCCGCACCCACTGCTGGCCATCCCCAATCACCTGCAGAATCTGATCTCCCTCCTGGATGCCCTGCCTGTCAGCCGGGCTGCCCTCCTGCACCCCCGACACGAAGATGCCCACGTCATTGCCCCCAGCCAGCTGCAGCCCGATGGTTGTGCCCTTGGGAAAGCAGACGACCCTGGAGTCGGGGCTGTACCTGGGAGGGGAGGCAGAGGCTGGGTCAGGCTGGAGGGGGCCGGGGGGGGGGCATGCTGGGCATCCTTGGGAGAGCCCCCACCCCCTCCAGGCCTCAGTTTCCCAAACGGCCCCATATGGTAGCCACATCAACAGACTGGGGCCAGAAGGCAGGACTGTGTGTCCTAGAGAGGCGGCCCCTGGATGTGTGGGCCTTGGGCCAGTGGGCTTTCTTTCTGGGGGACATACCCGCGGTCCTCCACGCTCTGGCTGCTGGACACCCTGTAGATGTCGTAGCTACTTGGCCTCGGGGAGTCTGAAAGGGAACAGCAGTCTCTTTCCAAAGCACATGGGCTGGTCCAGCCGCCATCCTGCTGCCGAATGGCCTCCCCACCCTACAGTGCTGTCACTCAGCCCTCCATCCTCCGGAGGGAGCCATCCCTGACCTCTGAGGCCCATGCCAGCCTCTCCTGCCCTGCCTGGCACAGCCTTACTGGCTGGGATCAGAAAAACCAGAGGGACGCTCAGAGTCATCACCCTTCCCCCATCAGCTCACCTGTTTCCGAGACGGTTCTGGAATCCACTGAATTTTCCCGCTGAGGTGGGGGGCTCTCCCTGGAGGAGAACAGACTTGGGGTGAAGTGGGGGTGGACGCTGAGAGGCGAATGTCGGAATTCTGACTTCTCTGCACCCGGGTTCAACTCCTGGTCCTGCTCCTTCCCAGCTGGGAGACCATGGGGGCCGCTGCACTCTCTGGGCCCCAGGGATGGCTACAGCAGCCATGTGAACTAGTTGGGGAGGGGATCACCCACCCTCAAACCCGACAGTCCTAGGGGGCACCGTGGCTGTAACCCTCAAAGATCACGCATCAGAAGGGACCCGCCAAGCCGCCCCAGCTCCGGAATCTTGGACATGGCGTGAGGACGTTTCCTGGCGTTTGGAGCTGCTAGGCTTTGGGGCAATTTGTTACACAGCCACAGATAACAGAGAGACCCCCTGCCTCACAGATGCGGGGTGCTTAAGTAGGATGCCCACTTTCTTATCCCCACCTGTTGGGCACTTAGGTTTTTAAAGATTTTTATTTATTTGGTTGACAGAGAGACACACAGCGAGAGAGGGAACACAAGCAGGGGGAGTGGGAGAGGGAGAAGCAGGCTTTCTGCCGAGCAGGGAGCGTGACGCGGGGCTCGATCCCATGACCCTGGGATCACGACCTGAGCCAAAGGCATACGCTTAATGACTGAGCCACCCAGATGCCCCTGGGCACTTGAGTTTTTAGGCATTGAATTGTGTCCCCTCAAAATTCATCTGCTGAAGTCCTAACGCCCCCACCCCATGTCTGCGTGGGACGGTCCTTGGAAACAGGGGCGTTGTGGGTATAACGAGCAGAAAGCAGGTCCTACCAGTAAGAGCAGGGTGCACCCTGATCCCTTGTGACTGGTGTCCTTATAAAATGGGGACACTTGGAGACAGAGCAGAGGGGCACAGAGGGGAGATGATGTAAAGACGGAGAGGAGGTGGACCCCTCCTAGGGCGGCCGGCGGGTGGGGGGGGGCTACTGGAAGCTACCGGAAGCTAGGAGAGAGCCCCACCCCCACCAGCGAGCCTCCAGAGAGAGCGTGGCCCCACCCACGCCCTCCTGTGATGTCCTAAGCCCTCGTGTCCGAGGCACGTTGTCACAGCCGCCAGAGGACACAATGCAAGGTCACGGCCCCCGTCCCCATCTGTAATCAACGTCACAAGGAACAGGAGCCCTCCGACCTCGGTACACATCTGTGGCTGTTGTGCCCCAAGAGAAAATCCCTAAAGGTACATGATGCGTTCTGGAGTCTTCTGGGCTGTGATGTGAAATTCAGTTCCTTCTGCATTAAAGTCAGGCCATAGCAGGACCCAGAGCCAGTCATGGGGGCAGGGAGGACTATGGGTGGACAGGGGAAGCCTCTTCCAGGCAGGCCACCAGGTGCAAAAGATGTATGTGCCCATGTTCCCCTCGGGCTCGACCCTTCTGGCCGAGGGGGTACGTACTCGGGGGAGTCGGTTTGGCTGGCGTCCAAACTCCGTCGCGCGTGCCGGGGTGGCGGTGGGACATGGGAGGGCGGCGCCTGGGACAGCTCCGAGCCGAGGTCCGAGATGTCTGCAGGGCAGAGCATGACCCCTCAGGCCTCAGCCCGCACCTCCCAGACTAGATCCATTTCACAGAGCGAAACATCAAGGCCCCTCGCAGCAGAGGGGCCCAGACCAGTCAGCCTCCAGCCCTGACTTACTGTGTGGCCTTGGGCAAGTTTCTGTCCCTCTCTGAGCCTCTCAGGAGCGAGGCTTGCCAGTGCCCTCCAGGCTCTGCCCGGTACTCTCTGCCCCCCTGCCCTCCACTCAACCCCCAGGGCCTGCTTCCGGCCCCTCACCGTCCAGGAGGGAGCTGTCACTGTTGCTGTCGCTGACGGCCGGTGGGATGTTCACCAGGAACTGCCCTTGGTCTCTGAGCACCAGGAGAGTCAGCTTCCCTTCTGACTTCTCTATCAACCGCCGCGTGTCGCTCAGAGACAGATTCTTGCTGGACACACCATTGATCTAAAAGGGGCCGGGAAGGAAGAAGACAGGAAGGAAGTTAATGCAAAATTGGGGATACCAGAAACAGTCTGTGCGGTGTGGGGGGGGGTGGTTAGACACACATAATACCCAGGAATGCATAAGAACAGCCAATCTCAAGAAGAAATAATAGAACTGGATTCCTCCTGCTCTGAGGAGACCATGCCCGGAAGTACCTCCCACAAGAATTCCAGAATCGGCCAATTTTCTGAGGGGCAGGGTGGGCACTAGGGGAAAATTAGAAGCAAGTTGACTCCCCATCTTCCTAGAAGGGGAACTTCTCAGGAGACCCAAGGAACAGTTGTTAGAAACAAGTCTAAATAGGGAACAGGGAGTAGATAGCCAAAGATACTAGAAGAAGACAATTGTAGGAGGTACTAGAAACAGACATTTAGAGGTGTGTTAGAAACATAATTTGGGGAAGGATTTAAGGTCCTCTCCAGGGCGCTCCGGGAATCCCTTTCCAACATTTCCCCAGTGGTGCGTCTGTTTTCATCTACCCTGGGGATTGTGAGTTTCTCATCCCCCCTGCTGGGCTACCTATTTCTAGTATCTGCCCCCAAACCACTAGAAACAGACAATTCCTCTGGGTCACTAGAAACAGGTAACTCTGAAGAGGCTCTTGAAGCAATCCACTGGAAACGGTTTGGAAATCAAACACCAGGAATCACTAGAAACAGGTTTTCAGAAAAGGAATCTGGAAAGAAACCAGCTCTAAGGCAGAGCCATGCCTCTAAGCCTGGCCTCTGGACTGTCAGCACCGAACACCCAGGGCGAGTTCTGGAATGAGCGCCGTGGCCAGCGCCCCCATGGGATTCTGGGAATACTGGAACCTGATATTTGGCCGTGTTAGAGGAGAGGATGGGGGCAGGAGGGAGCCTTCGTTGTCCTCTCTAACCTTTGGGAAACAGGCAACACCCAGGAGGCCCATGGTTCCAGCCAGCTCTGCTGACCTTGCCGGTAGCTGGGTCTCCCTGTCCTGTCCCCAACAGTAAGTCTGGGCTCACCTGTAGGATGAGGTCACCTTCCTGCAGCCCACGGTTCCTGGCGGCCAGGCCCGAATCGGTGATGTGCTTGATGAAGATCTGACTGCCCAGGGTGACCCCGAACTCTGTGGGGGGAGGAGGGAAACTGAGGCAGGGCCTGGGGTCTGGGCTGTGGGCTCCTCTCAAGCTCAGACTTCTCACCTGCCCTCGACCCTCCTGTCGGCCTTCCGGGCCACCCACCTGAAGGGAGAGCTAGGGCCTGGCCCCCTCCATGCCACCCTAGGGCTATTCTGACAACCCACCAGCCAGGATTGTGATGTCAGCACAGAAGGTCACGGCCAGGGGCCTGGGAAGGAACAGCGCCCTGGTCCCCACTCCCCAACACCCTGCTCCATCACCCCACGGATGCTACTAATGACATCACCACCAGGGTTCAGGATGTGACCGTTGCTATTAAAATCCCAGGGTGGGGGACCCCTGGGTGGCTCAGTCGGTGAAGGGTCTGCCTTTGGCTCAGGTCATGATCTCAGGGTCCTGGGATTGAGCCCCGCTTAGGGCTCCCTGCTCAGCGGGGAGCTTGCTTCTCTCTCTCCCTGCTCTCGTGTTCCCTCTCTCTCTCCCTCTCAAATAAATAAAATCTTAAAAAAAAATAATAATGATAAATAAAATTCCAAGGTGGGGACAGATGTCCTGGTGCCATTTGTCACATCGTTACATTTAGAATTCTAAAGTCCCAGTGCTGCCATGGACTCGAGATAGGGCTGGAGGTCACGTCCCCATTGGTGGCACAAAGGGGATTCAGTGATCGTAACGCTCCATCCACGTCACAGTATGTGGACTCCCTGGGGCCGCTCGAAATTGTCACAAACTTAGTGGCTTTAAAATGATACCGATCTGCAGTCTTATAGTTCCGGGCTCGAAGTTCTTTTTTTTTTTTTTTTTTAAAGATTTTATTTATTTATTTGTCATAGAGAGAGAGGGAGAGAGAGCGAGCACAGGCAGACAGAGTGGCAGGCAGAGGCAGAGGGAGAAGCAGGCTCCCTGCCAAGCAAGGAGCCCGATGTGGGACTCGATCCCAGGACGCTGGGATCATGACCTGAGCCGAAGGCAGCTGCTTAACCAACTGAGCCACCCAGGCGTCCCTCCGGGCTCGAAGTTCTAAAACCTGGGCGCAGGCAGGGCTGGTCCCCCCGGGGGCCCCAGGGAGACCCAGCTCCTGCCCTTACCTGGCCCGCAGGCCGTCCCCCCAGCTCCCCGCTAGCAGCGCAGGGTCTGTCCATCTCTGGGACCCCCGCCCTCTGCCTCCCTCTCATGAGGACCTCATGGGGATCCCAGGCCCCCTGGGATCCCAGGCCCCCAACTGGGCAGGCGTGACAAGGTCCCCTCTGTCGCAGGAGGGGACACATCCACAGGTCGCGGGGTCCAGGCCGGGCACATCGGTGGGGGCCTTTACTTTGCTGACCACAGGCCATGCGGGATGGGGGCCAGCGCAGTGGCGGCGCCCCTCAGTGGGAACTCTGCACACCCCCCCCAGCCTCCAGCGTGCCCCAGCCGCGGGCTCACCTTCGCTCTCTCGCTTCCGCACCAGCACGGATTTCACGGGCCTCATGTGCACATCCTGCTGCGGCAGCCGCTTGAAGCCAGACACCAGGGCCAGCCCATTGGCCTCAGAGCTCGCCCCGGGGCTCCTGTGCCCATGGCTGCCAGCCCGGCTCCGGCGGCCCGCCCTTGGCCGGCGCGAACGCTCGTCCCAGGAGCGGCCGGAGCCACTGGACGTGTCCCCTTCATAGCCGCGGCCGTGGTCGGCCTCGTCAGAGTCCCGATGGCCCCGGCTAGAGGGGCCGGTCTTGGTGGCAGGCAGCTGGATCTTCCGGGGACGCTTCACCGTCTGTTAGGGGAGGAAGCGGGGGCCGGCTCAAGGCTCTGCCCCCATCCACTGGGTGGTCCCGGGGGACCCTGGCCCCCTCTCTGGGCCTCAGCGTCCAAGCTGCGAAATGGGGACAAGAGTCCACTTGCTTGTAGAAGCATATACTCAGACTGCCCCTGGGCTACAGGACCAGGTGGGGCTCGGGCTGGGGAAGAGGCAGCCCCTGGCCCAGGGGCTGCCGCCCCCACCCCCCACTCACAATGTTGGCCAACTTCGTGCAGGTCTTGAGTATCTGAATGGCAAAGGTGGAGGTGACACTCTCCATGGAGACCCCATTCACCATGACGATGTGGTCCCCCAACCTGAGGGAGGGGGCTGGGTCTCAGGGAGGAGCCCTCACAGGGGAGCCCTCTCCCCAGGCCTTCCCTGAGGGCTCCTGACACTTCCCCCAGTGCCCCACTTTGGGGTGGGCACCCCCAGTTCTGCAAGGCCTGCTTCTAATTCGCTGTGGTCCCATGTCTCATAAAGACCTTAATCGTTCTGTATCTCAGTTTCCTCATCTGTAAAATGGGGCCAATCATAGATGCTTCTATAATAATAAAATGCAACCACAGAACAGGAGCTATGGTTATAATGGGTGTCTCCATACCCCTCATTTCTTCTGTGCATCCCCTCTTCCTCTGTCTGGGTTTCAACATCTCTTTCTCTCTCTGAAGCTGTTCCTTGAGTCTGAGCTGAACCAGATCACCCATCAGTCGCTCAGGTCCCTGAGCCATTTTCCCCCAACATAACTCCCCAGAGCCTCCTGCCCCCAAAGGCTCAGGACACTGGGTCTCCCTCCAGCCAAAATAGCCTTCCCAGTCCTCTCATTCCAGGAAAGCCTGGGGCCACTATGACCCTCAGAACTACATCGGAGGACTAGAAAGTGCATTGGGGAGAGGGAGGGCCACTTCGCTAACTCGGTCCTGCCACCAGCTCCAAGCCCTGTGTTGCCAGAGCTAGAAGGCAGCAGGCACTGTGCTGGCTCCTCGCTTTGGCCCACACGGGTCCCTCCTCTCAGCCAGCACCCCTGCTGCCTCCCTACTCACCGAAGTCTGCCCTCCGCTGGTCCCCCGGGCAGCACATCAGACACAACCACAGACCCACTGGGCCGGTCTCGGCCGCCAGAGATCGCAATGCCAAAGCCTCGCTGGGGGTCCTAAGAGATGAGGAGACATAGGATGAGCATCTGCTTCCCCTGGGGACAAAGATTCTCCCGTCTAGTCAAGCAGCCCCGGATCAATAGGACGTTCCTGTTGGTGGCCACACGGGGAGAGGGAGGCCTCACCTTGCAGAGCGTGGCTGTGTGTTGTTCCCAAATGGTCAGCTCCTCCATGTCCAACACCTGGAAGGAGGGGATGCAAGGTAGGTGTGAGGCCATGACAGGTCCACTGAAGCACTTGAGGGTCCCCTACCCTGGTGGGGAGCCCGGGTCTGACACTCCCACTGTCCAAGCCTGTGGGCAAGTGGCCACCTCTCTGGGGGCCTCAGCTTTTGCATCTGCGAAGTGGGTCTACGTCAGGGTTCTCAGTGGGGACTGCTCTGCCCCCTAGAGGATATCTGGAGACATCTGTGGTCATCATGACTCCAGGAACCGGGCAAGTGGGGGCCGGGGGTGCTGCTCAACCCCCGCAGAGCAGGGCAGTCCCCCACAGAGAACAATCCAGGCCCAAATGTTCATATGCCAAAGCTGAGACCCTGGTTTAAGTGAACCATACTGGTAAGAGCAGAGAAGGCAAATTCCTGGGGGATCGGGTCTGGGGGGACCCACGCCTGGGGATCAAGCCAGTTCTGCCAGGCAGAGGGCATGCATTCCACTCCAGCCCCCCGGGGCCTCCTCACTGTTCCTCCAATACCTGGGGCCTTTGCACACGCTGTTCCTTCCTCCTGGAACTCTCTTTCTCCCAGATCTCCACCTCACTCCTCCCTTGGCCTCCTGTTCATCTTGGCTCACGTGTTACCTTATTGGGGTGGCCTCCTGACCCCCCTGTTCAGAACAATAAGCCATCCCACTCCACAACAGACCCCCTTAGCCACCCTGCCCCAACACGGTTTCCCAATTCGTACAACCTGGGACCCCTTGACTTTCTAGATTTTTTTTGATCTGTCCATCTCCCCTCTCTAGAAAATCAAATCCGGAGGGCAGAGATTTTTGTCTGCCTTGTTTGCAGTGGAGTCCTGATTCACAGCAGGGATTCAACAGCTGTTGAAGGAAGGAAGGAAGGGGAGGAAAGAAGGAAAGGACGGGCTTTCCTTATGCCGAGGACTTTGCATGTCCTATCTCATTTAGTCTGAAGGGAGCTTCTATTATCTATTATCCCTGTGTTCCAGAGGAGGAAACTGAGGCACAGAGAGGCAAAGTCACCTGCCAAGCCAATAGAGCTGACGGAGGTGGAGGCTGGGGAATGTGGACCTACCAGATCGTGGATGGGGAGGCAGAAAGGAGGACCCCCCCCAATTCAGTGGCCCTACTTCCCTGGGGTGCCTGGTAGAAAGGACCTCCCTCCCCAGCCCGGCACCGCAGGTGGGTGATTCTCTGGGCAGAAAATCCCTGCGCTGGCGGTTGCTGCCTGGTTCCCAGGAGAGCAGCATTCCTGACTCCCAGGGAGAGGGGCATGGGGCGGAGGAGAGAGGAACAAAGCCCAGGGCGGGGCCTCCCAGGCACTCCAGGCTCTGCTACCGGGAGCGGGAGCGAGAGCGGGAGCGGGAGCAGGAGGGAGAGGGCAGCGCTCACAACCGAAACTCAGCCCCTTTGGCTGGTGGTGGTCCTGGAGCCACTCCCAGCCTTGGCTTCCCCTGCTGTAAAATGGGTTGCCCTTCATTCCCGCTGCCCGGTCTTTCAGGGCTGAGGCACCCCTGGAGCGGGGCACGGAGGAGCCACATGCCAAAGGCAGAAAGAGCCTCCGCCCCCCCCTTCTGCCCCCCTCCCAAGACGCAGCAGGTGTCTCTTTCCTCCTCTGCACATTGATAAGAAAACCTGTTCGGAGGGCTTTACACACACCAACTTGCTCAATCCAGAGGGGCCCTAGGATGTGGCCTCCTCCAAAAGGAGAGGGAAGGACGGCCCAGAGAGGTCCAATACCACGCCTGAGGTCACACAGCCGATGGCGGACCCAGGCAGCCCGTCCCACACCCCTGCTCCTCGCCACAGACCCCAGCCCTCTTCTGCTTCATTCTTCTTTTCTCCAGAAACTTATTTTTCAAAACAGAATCTTTTTACTTGGCTTCGATTTTGTGCTGAATTTGGATTTGTGCTGAATTTGCCCCCCCCCCCCCAATTTGGATTTCCTGGCCTTCTTCGAACAGCCCCAGGGAACCAGGGCCCCCAGGGGACAGGTGCAGGTGGCCCAGGCTTGTCCTGTCTTGCACGGGTTCGTGCCTCCTCGGTTGTCAGAGGCCTTGACTAAACCCAAAGGGCCAATCCTAGCACCACCCCCCACCGGCCCCCCTCCGCCCAGTTCACCTCTACGGTTTTCCCCGATAGAACCCTGTGCCTAACACACAACCCCAGGATTTGTGCACGGTTAGCCCTTGCCACTCCGGGTCTCGGCTCCAAAGCTGCCTCCTCAGGGAGCCAGCCCTGGCTAGCCAAATTTCCCTGGCTCCCTATCACTCTTCCGTGTTTCATTATGTTTTATTCATGGCATCCAAATCGTCTTAAAATATCCTGTGTGATCATCAGTTGGCAAGTTTCTGGTCTTTCCCCCTGGGCTGTGAAGGCTGGGTGAGCCAGTCTCTTTGCACACTCTGGTCATGGCCCTTGGGCCATGGCCCTCCTGGGCCCTGCGATCAGCCTCTGCTCAGAGCCTTAGCACGAATGATACTCTCTGGCAAACTCCTATTCAACCTTCATAGCCCCAGTGCCATTGTCTCCTCCTTCAGGAAATGAGTCTTCAGTGGCCCCATACACACTTCTCACATCCTTAATTACTGGAATCTGGAAGGTCCCTGTGCACTATGTCCCATACACCCCTCTAGTCTGGGGCATGCTGGTGGGCAGGGCTGGGGGCCCAGGGACCCCAGCATCGTCCCCACAACACCAGCAGGGAGACAAGAATTTAAGGGAACGAGTGAACGGTGACATGAAAGGTCTATTCAGCCAGGAGATCAACAGTGTGTCAGGAATTCCTAGACCCCTCAGCCAGTGACCCATCTGGGAGAGCCCTGAGGGGGCGGGGCCGCACCTGCTTCCCCACGGGGAGCCCCAGGCCGGTGACAAACAACAGAGGGGAGGGGGAGTCGCCCAGAGGGGGCAGGTCAGGTGGTACCAAGTCACACAACCCCAGGCACTAGGCTCCGGGACTGCAGTCCTCTCTCCCCCGCCCCGCCCCCAGCTCCGGGAACAAAGGTGGGGGAGGCGGGAAAGGGGGCCACAAACAGGCGAGTTGGGGAGGGGATTCTGGAAGCTGTTTCACCGCAGCCAGGAAGAAAGCTGGCGGGAACCTTAGGGCTCGGGCAGTGTGGTCTGGGCCAGCCATATTTTCCCCCCGGGCCTCAGTTTACCCCACCCCCACCCCCGCGCGATCTCCCACCCAGTGCGGACACCGTGAGTCGGTGTAAGCTCCATCTCTGGAGGGCGAGGTCCCCCCAAATAGAGACACGGAGATCCCCTCCCTCCCAGCAGGTTTGCTCTTGTGGAAAAGGGGCATCTCGATCCCTGTCTCTGCCGTCCCAGTATACAGCAAGCGCCCAATACATGGTGGTTGCTTCTCCAGCAGCTTCCTCGCTTTCACGGAAGCTACCCCAGCCCACAAAAGAAGTGATCGCTGCCGTTCCACTGTGGCTCAAACCTAACTTGAGGGAAGACCGCGGGAGCCCGGCGTAAACATCTTCACAAGGCACCCAGTATGTGCCAAGCGCTTAAAACACATTTTTCTCCTAGGATCCTCCCTACGCCCTTCTTTTAAAACGGTCACCAATTTTATAGGCGAGGTACAGAGAAGCTTTGCTTCGCGGGCCCAAAGTTATACAGAAAAGTCAGGATTTGAACCCCGGTCTACCGGGTAACGAGGAGGACCCTGGGGCAGGCAAAGCCCCCGAGACTGCTTTTGGACACCAGCGGGCGTGAACGCCCCTCGCTGCGCAGCCTCGGGCTAGCTACGCTATTCCTCTGGGCCTCAATTTCCCCATCTGTAAGCTGGGGTGATCTGGGGTCCTGGGTCCAGGTCGCAGCCCCCACTCCGGCTAGATTCCCCTCCCCCTCCCGCCCTCGGCGGGCTACTCGCCTGGAATCTCACGGCCATGGTCCACCCCCAGGACTCTTCAGCGCCCCTGCCCCTGGGGGGCCTTGGAAACGGTCACTCGGTCCCCACCTTGGGGTGAGGGAGGAGGCTGGGGAGGCTGGCGGCAGAGAGTGGCCGGCCCTCGCCCTTCTCCAACCCGCTCCACGGCTCCCGGTTGCACCTGCCGCTCTTCCTCCTCCAAGTACCCTACCGGCCCCGGCCCCGCCCCGACACGCCTCCGGGACGCCGCGGAGGGAGGCCGCCTTCGCCCCCGATCGCGGGATCCAGGCGCCGGGGCGGGCGAGCCAGGCCGGGTTTTCCACCCGTCTGAGCCCCGGCAGGCCGTCGGGGCTGGAGACCCGCCCGGCAAGGCTGCCGCGAAGACCCGGCAAAAATTCCACCGCGTTTCGGAACGGAACCTGTGGTTCAACATCCGTGGACCCGGCCCCTTTCGGAAATCAGGTGGGACCACCGCAGCAGGAGCAGGTTCAGTGCCGGAGACGTCCAGAACCGAGCGCTAGCCTTTCTCGGGGCGTCGCGTCGCCGGGAGTTTACCCCCATTACATAGAGGGGAAACTGAGGCCCGGTGACGTCAGCGGCAGGGACTTAGGATGCACGGAGGGGCGCGGGAGCCGCCACTCCGCACTGGCCCGGGCCCCCAGCCGAGGAGGGCGGGGCTGGTGGGAGGAAATTCTGGGAGCAAAGGTCAGGCTTCCTCCTCAGCCTCGGAAGGTGAGATCTAGGAAGGACAGGACCTGGGCAGGAAGACCTCCCCTGTGGAAGGTGAGGGAGCGAGGAATCACCTGGGTGGGCGGGGCTGACGGTGGCTCCACCCACGCCTTCCTTCCGGCTATATTTACCTTGACACCCAGCTGTCTGGGTGGCACCTCATGCCAAGGTCGAAAGGGCAAATCCGGAGCATACGCTTCCCAGCCTCATCCAGTCTGTGCTGGCAGAGAGGAATCCCACCCACGCTGTGGCGCAGAAAGTAGGGAAGAAACGAGGAAACTGGGGGATCAGGAAATGCTTCCCGGAAGAGGGAGCATTGCAGCTGGGGTTTTGAAGGTTGGGTAAGAGTTTGCCAAGTGAACAGGATGATATAATACAATCTTTGAGCCCCCCCATGATTTCTTACCCCTCCCCACTTCAGTTCTCCCCAAAACACGAGTCCGCCAGAGCCCAGCCCGCCAGCATGGGCCTCTAAGCATCTCCAAAGTTCCCCCAAGACGGTAAGCCTTGGCAGAAACCCATCTGAGGACCCGACTCCAAACCTCGGGTCTGGAGGGGAGAGCTCCGCTTTTCCCCAATATGATCTTTGGCCACCAGCAGGCGGTACACAAAACCATTTTAGGTAGAACAAGGTCAAACTTTTTTTTTTTAAATAGCTGTGTATTTGTTTTAATGAGTCATAGGAAAACATAAGTGAGCTCCCCGCTGACACGCGTCCGTGGGTGTTGGTGGCTGTGAGTGCCCGGGAGTGGCCCGCGTGTGGGGAACACCCCGAGCTCCTGCTTCACTAGAGACCTCAGCCCCAGTATCTATGGACTAAAGGGGTTCAATGTGCGGTAATGAGGCTCCCGGCTCACGTTTATCGAGAGTTTGCTTCGCTGCAATTATACATAATGATGGGCCTTAAGCCCACTATTCCAGCCATCCTCCAGCCGGATCACTTTAAGGACGTAAAAATCTGCTTTTCCCCAATCTACTTCATTCTTGCATTCATTGTTTTTATTCAGTCATTAACGCAAGAAAGTGCCTCCTGCTCTAGGCCAAGTACCTAAGCGGGAACCCAACTGACTTCCTATCTGAAATGTCAGTGCCAAATTCAACCAGCAGGGGGCAGTGCGGGCATGGCGTGAGGGAGTGGGGGGAGGGAGCATGCCTTGGACAGCGGGGTCCCCGAACTAACCCTGGGATGACCCTGCTCCGTCTTTCCGAGTGCCTAGGGGGGGGGGAACTGAGGCCCAGACAGAGAGCCGGGGCTGGACAGAGGTCCCTGAGAGTGGTGGCCGCAGGAGGGGTGAGAGCCTGGGTATGGGGCCCACAGAGGGGGTTTGGGGCCCCGTGTACACCAAGGGCTGATGTGACAGACCCAGGAGAGCCAGATGATATTCGAATCGTCATGTAACATAAATAGAAAGTGCTACTGAGACTTGTGAGAGCATTGGGAGGGAGACACGACAGGGGCTGGGGGCTCAGGGAGGGGTTCCCGGAGGAATGGCACTCAAAGTAAGAACCGAGTTTAGGAGGAGTGCCCTGGGTGAGAGGGATCCAAGCAGAGGAACAATTACATCTAAAATAGATGAGGGAGGAGCCATGGAAAGATCTAGGTGTTCCAGGCAGAGGGCGCAGCCTGGGCAAAGGCCCTGGGGCAGGACCACGCTTGGCACGTTGGCAGAACAGCCAGGAGGCACTGGAGCAGAGTGGTTGGGGGGGAGAGGGAGGAGGGAAGGGCAGGAAGAGGAACGAGGAAGGTCATGCAGAGGCTTGGGGGCTCAGGTGAGGACTTGGGCTTTTACCCCCAGGGAGGACGGAAACCTGGAGGGCAGTGGGCACAGTGGGGGGGATCCCTGATTTGGGTGATCGCAGGCGCCCCCTCGTGGTCACTGGGGGAGGACAGGCAGTGGGGGGCTAAGGCAGGAGCTGGGTACTAGGGAAGTCAAACCTGGAGGCCCTTGCAAGGTGTGGCTTTAAAACAAACGTTTTATTTTGGAATCATTTAAAATTGACATGGGGGGGGCGCCTGGGTGGCTCAGTGGGTTAAGCCTCTGCCTTCGGCTCAGGTCATTATCTCAAGGTCCTGGGATGGAGCCCCACATCAGGCTCTCTGCTCAGCGGGGAGCCTGCTTCCTCCTCTCTCTCTCTGCCTGCCTCTCTGCCTACTTGTGATCTCTGTCAAATAAATAAATAAAATCTTTTTAAAAAATTGGGGCACCTGGGTGGCTCAGTGGGTTAAGCCTCTGTCTTTGGTGTGGGTCATGACCTTAAGGTCCTGGGATCGAGCCCCACATCAGGCTCTCTGCTTGGCGGGGAGCCTGCTTCCCCCTCTCTCTCTGCCTGCCTCTCTGCCTACTTGTGATATATCTCTCTCTCTCTCTCAAATAAATAAATAAAATCTTAACCAAAAAAAAAAAAAAAATTGACCGAGGGGCCCCTGGGTGGCTCAGTCAGTTAAGCATCTGCCTTCAGCTCAGGTCACGATCCCAGGGTCCTGGATTCGAGCCCCTCATCAGACTCCCTGCTCAGCAGGGAGCCTGGTTCTCCCTCTGCTGCTCCCTCTGCTTGTGCTCTCTCTGTCTGTCAAATAAATAAATAAAATTCTTAAAAATAAAATAAAATTGACCGAAAAGTTGTAAGTACAATTCAGAAAGTCCCCAGATGACCCTCACCCAGTCTCCTCCAACACTAACATTTTCTAGGACCGCGGTGTACTGTCAGAACTAAGACACCAACATCCTACGTCACCATGAAACGAACTGCAGACTGCTCTCACGCGTGCTCATGGGCGCTCACACGCGCCTACGTGCGCACCCAGAATGCTGACGTGAACTTACAGATGGACAGTAAGCCCGACGATGGCCACAGGGCAGTAATCAACAGCCTCTGTTGGACAAAATTTGTTTGCATTTCTATGGACGGCACGGTCTGGCATGCTGTTGCCGCCACCCCTGCAGGTTTCCTCTAACTTACAGGGCGGGGATACAGTTCCGAGGCCAGGAGAAGCGCAGATAGTTTTAGAGGACACCCCAAAGCCTGGCATTGATCGGATGCTCTATCGCTCTACAAACGCTAGGGAGCCATTGAAAGTTCTTGAGCTAAGGTCGCAGCTTATTAACTGCACATTTATTTATGGGATGATTTTTGGAAGACCTCTTCTTCCCACTGGCCTGTGAGCTCTACCCTCAGAGTATCCCAGGCACTTAGAACAGTGCCTGGTATGCAGGAAGTGCTTAATAAATGAGTAAATAGCTCCTGGGGTGCCACCTAAGGTTCTGAGCAGAGGAGAAAGGCCAGTGCTGTGTGCCCTGGGAGGACACATTCTTGGGGTGGGGACTGCGGCGGGCCCAGCCACAGAGCACATAAGGACTGGCAATGTGGGGGTGGGGGTCGTGGGGGAGGCTGTGCTCCTCCCCTGCAGCAGAACTCCCCCCCAGAGCTCTGGCTTCCTCCCATGGTGGGGAGGGGGAGGGCCGGGTAGGGGTACGTTCTGTGAGTCCCCCTCCAGACACAGCCCACATTGCAATCTTCTAGAAGAGTCTATATGCCCCTCCTTACCTTCATTCCCCCCTATGCCACAGTGGTCTCCTTAAGGTGCCCCGGGACCTCCCACGTTGCCAAGCCCTGGGACATCCCTCCACCCTCCTGTACACGCTGCCCCCGTTCTGCCGCTCCCCCTCCCCCTTGCCACCCGGGTATAAGGAATGCATCTGACAAACCCCAAATGAGGCGCTTTCTGCAAAAGACCTGATCATCCCCTCCCGGTAGCGAAGGTCAAGGGACAAGGTCACAGCCGGGAAGAAGCAGAGGAATGCTGACAGCTGAATGGGCTCTTCGGCCCTAGATGAGTCCCCGAGGCAGAAAAGGAAATCCCTGCGCTCTGATGACGGCCTGTGCTCAGCTCCTGGTGAGGGAGGTGTTGGTGTCAGTCCTGGCCGCAGCACCCCGTGGTCGGGACTTGTTAGTGTTGGATCCACACGGACAGGCGAGGATCATATGGGGACTCTGAATTGTATCTACAGCTTTTCCGTCAATTTTAGATGATTCAAAATAAAATGTTTGGTCTAAAACCACACTTCGCAGGGCCTCTGCCTTTGGCCTCCCTGGTCCTCCTGCTCCTGCCCTCACCCCCAGTCTGTCGTCCCCACAGTGGCCACCAGAGGGTGTCCCGGAGCTCACGAGTCAAGTCCCACCCTCCTCCTCCCACAGCCCTCCAGGGCTCCCACCTCCCTAGGTCAAAGCCAATCTTCTGTGTGGCCCCCAACACCCTGCAGGACCTGCCCGGTCTCCTCCCTGTCCTCCCC